ACCCCATGGAATGCTCCTGTCTATACCTTTGTATTTAGTCAAATTTCTGGTTTTATTTTCCTGTTGAAATTTTATATATGACCTTCTCTTCTTCAGAATTCACATAACTAGGATAGCCATGAATTCCTCACAGGCAATTGCATTTAGTCAGAATTGTGAGTAATTGATAGCCATATTGAATTGAGACCATGTGCTAATGTCACTTCAGATTTAACACTTGAATTATGTAATTTAATCCCTCACAGCAGCTTCAGAAGATTTTCATTATTCAAGCATGAGTAATGACTTTGAAAAGTTAAGCAATACTGCACATGCTTTCATAGGTAAACTCATGATAGGCCTTGATGGCAGACCCTAGATTCACTGATTGTAAAATTATTAACTATATGGGTAAAAACATTTCCCCAATTGGAGACTCCCTTCATTTGTTTCCTAAAACAGCATTTCATTTTCCTTCTCGTCTTAGTCTTTCCAAAGAACCATCATCCTCAGCATGATCAGACTTGGACCAAATCTCTATGATGCTAGTAGTACTGTGCCAAGTCTCAGGGGGGAAACATACTTAATAGGTGGACTTAGTATCAGGAGTCACAAGTTCAACTAGTAAACACAATCCATATGCTCGTTTTGCTGATTAAGTACAAGTGATCCTCATTGAACTGCCTAGTAGGGTCTATTTCCTAGTGGGTGGCTCTAACACTGTTTCCAAGGGATGATATACCCCCAGTATGAAATATCACAAATGACAGTGACTCCAATCATATGGGGATCTATCTTCTGCAAAAGCCTGTACCATTTTATGTACATTCACCCCCAGAATGTCAGGCATAAGGAGTCATGGAAAAGTTCACATGTTCAATGTACAATGTTCAGCTTGTAGCAGAGAAAATAATTTCAAGTGATGGTAGGAGAAAGATGATTAGCTTTTGGAGATAGGAGTACCAGGATTGGGTATACAAGAGCTTTGGAATATTTTAAAGATGTGGAGCAATGAAGAAATATTGCTTGCCTTATAGATATGTCAAATGAATGCAAGTAATTTATGGGACAGGTGGCTAGATAGTTTCCAGTACTTCGCTTTAAGATCATCTATACACCAGAACTCCCCAAAATTCTACAGGAGCAAATATCATTCTCTATTCCTTAAGTTTTCTAACCATTACTTTTCCTTTCAAAGCCCATTAGTTGTATGCAACCTCGAAACATTCCTTACAGAATTAGAAAAGCAATCTGGTTTCTTCAAATGCTACAGGTCTCACTCTTCACTACCAGAGACCATAAGGTAGTAGATTCCAAGTTGGTCTGCCCAGAACTAATACAGAAATAGAGCTTGTTATAGTCAAGAGGCTACTCAGAGCAAAAGAAAAGAGACAGTATTTTAAGTGTGTCCACATTCATAATTTTAGAACACTCATTTTTTCTCAGAGCACAATCATAGGAAGGGATGAAGGAGGCTGGTTTAGATTTTTTTCTAGTCCTTCGGCAAAAATATCTACTGTCTCTGTGCTGTCAGTTTACAATTTCAAATCGATAATTCCATGGTCTCCTCATGTGGCTGCTTCTTTCTGCCACATTCATTTTCTTTACTGTTATAAAATGTAGACATCAAACAGCTTTCTTTCCTAAAGCCTACCAATGCTTTCTGCTGCTGTCCACATCCTTGATTAAGTGGGTTTGTTATCAAGATTTCAGGGACTTGTCTCTAACCTATTGCCATTATTTCCTTCTTCTCTCTAGACTATCAATCAGCATAACTTTTCCTACCACTTTCTACTTCCAAGATTGAGGTATATCTAAATGTCAAGATATTATAAGAGTGTTTTGAAAATACTACCAGTCAGTCTTGGAAAAGGAAAGGGCAGGTAAGAAAACCAAACAAAACCAAAAACTATTCACAGTATTCTTTGTGTTTTGTGCATTTATATTCACAAACTTGAACACTAAAAACCTTAGTAATAGTATTTTCTTCCACTTAATAGACATGCATTACTAACAGAGATAGTTTAAAGAGAGACTGATGATTAAACTTGTTTGTCAATATGCAAAGTAGATTTGATATATCTGTGAAAGTGACATCCAGAAATTTTCAAATAGGGAAGACCCACTATCATAATTTTTGGCACCTTCAAAAGAGTTGACCAGATAGAAGTAGGTGAAAGGAAAAAGCAGGTGCTGCCTGTCTTTGTTACTTTCTTAGAGGATGCATCTATGCTGCTGCTGGTGCTATTGCTGTAGCTGCCATCCTTGACAGACATTACATTATATGTTTGAACTTCTACATGAACTGAAGATGTGCAGCTCTCCAGGACTTTTTCAGTCCTTCCCAATCAGACTGGAACTACTGAGGCATATGCTAAGCACCCACCAGATTCCAAGTATTTGCAGTGTACAAATAATTACTGTTAGATTACTCAGCCCCTATTGAGTAAGCTATTCTCATTAACACATTTTTATATATAATTATGATTTTGTGTATATTCTACTTTTCTAAATACTATTTAACTATTTCCCTAGAGAAAGCAAAGCCTAGTAAGGAAGGATATATGTAGAGAGAATAAGAGAATAATTTATAAATGTGACCCTAGAAGAGTAGGACAGAAAGACGCAACATACTTTTCCATTTCTGATTGTGGATTGCCATATTTGCCATATTTGGTTGTGATAAACTTCAGTTCTCTTTGCTAGGCACTTAGTTGTGTTTATTCAGAGAACATTCTTGGTTATAGCATGCAAAAAGACAAGTCTTGGTTTCACATAGGAACAAGCCTAAGTTCCATTTTGACAATCCGTTCCACCTCCAGCCATTCTACAGAACATTGGATGTCAGAAACACTCTGGAAACTGTCATACATCATCTGCATACTGTCATACACTTGAGTGTTCCCTGTCTTACAGACAAATTATCCAGATGTCAAACTAATTTTTTAGTTTCCACTTGAAAGCTTTGTGTCACCTAGGTCTAGTCAACATTGAATCAATTTTATTCACTTTCTCCCAACAATAGAAAGACCATGTTTCTAAGAACACTGTGCTATTATATATTTTGGTTTGAACAGAAAATTCAGTTATTCTGACATTCTGGTTAGCAATGATGCCTCCAATATATGTGTCCTATTGATTCTGCAGCAATATTTTTATTATGGTTTCTCTGCCATAAACTTCCTTTTCATAAAAACCTCCTTAAGAGAAAGTGAGCTCTGAAGTATTCTCAAATCCTACATGATATCTTAAGTACTATGTATTATATATATTCTACATAATTAATAGTTGCTAAATGAAGGGCTCAATCTAAAAGATTCAGATGATTAAAATATAGAGTTAGATTGCAAAGAAAAACTAAGTAAGAGTTGTATCTAAGGTGACTTCAACATGGTGAGAGAGAGGTATAAGAATAAGAATGAATTAGAGGTAGTGTGTGTGTGTGTGTGTGTGTGTGTGTGTGTGTGTGTGTGTGTGTGTCTGGGTGTGCTCATATGTATGTGTACATGTAAAGACCAGAGGATAATCTTGGGTTTCATTCCCCCCTTAGTCACACTCTTCCTTATATTTTGAGATAGAGCCTATCACTGGTCTGGAGAGATTAGGATGGCTGGTCAATGAAGATCAGAATTCTGCCTCTGCATCTCCAGTGCATATCATCATACCATTGATTTTCCTCTAATATGAATTTGGAGAATTGAACTTTGGTACTCATTCATGTATGATTAGGACTTTTAGTGTCTTAGCTTTCCCTCTGCCCATGTCCTGCTTGATCATACTTAGTACACACTGTATGGTGTTGGGATGTATGAAAGTCACTATTACAAAGGTTGAGGGCTAGTGGAGAGTAGATTTAGGTTTAATTCAGCCTTTCATAGTTATTCAGCACGCAAATTAATGATCAAATACAAGATTAAATACAAATCGATATCAAGTTCAATCAAACATACAGTATTTTCTCTTCTTTTGGATGTGACTACCTTAGCACATTCATTCTCCCTCGATTACTCATATTCTCCCCAAAAGTGAATGTGGCTAATTCACCACTTGGGTGGTGGGATGCATTATATCCTTGGAGTTGCAGTAATCCTCTTGCTACAGAACTGTGTCATGCTATTCTTCATCCATGACTTTTCACTCAGTTTTCTTCTTCACCAATTGGCTGCTGTCTAATCCATTTACAGATGCATTATTCCCTCAAGGAAGTCTTTGGAAGAAAGTTTTTGCCTTCAACACTACTGAAATCCCTTTGTTTTTTGTGCTTGTCATCTAAGCTCACACCTTCTAGTTTATGTGAAAAATTAACTGAAGCATTGTCCATGCTCTTCTCCCACTCTAATAGTAAATTCTAAGCTTCATGAACACAGAGGCCCCGACTTTATCTCACTATAAGACCACTGCTGCCTAGGATAGTGCTTAGCAGAAAGGTGATTACTTAATAAATGTCTATTACTAACTAAATGAACTGATGTCTGCTTTCCCCTTTATCTATTTACAAACACACTTTTTACTGGTAAGAAGTTCACAAAAGATTTTATGAGAAGCAGTGAATATTTTAAGCACACATTAAATAGCAAATGACTCACTTATATATTAAGAATGCTTATTATTATAATCTTAAGCATTCTATAAACTGGATCAGATATACTATGGATAGAAACAGTTCCTACTGGTCCTGGTGCGGGATGTCTTAGGGACTTTTGCTTTTGTGAAAATGACTTCATTCTCCTAGCTATAACATGAACTAATATTTATTAATATGAGCATTTGAAGCAATAAGATCTCAAGATCAATGGAAATGCCAATTACAATGAGATGGACAGGCAGAAAAGAATACATTCTTGTCTCTATTTCCCTTGACCTGCAAGAGTTACACTCCTGTTCTATTTTCTGAACAATCTAGTAAAATTCAATTTAGTTTTTCAATTTGTCTCCAGCCAGGTTTCCTTCTGTCAGCTATGCAGAAATCTTAATGCTGGCCATGTAAAGTCACAGGAGGAGGACAATGGGAATGAAATTACCTGTGCATTTGCGATCTGTGTCTTCTTTTTTGGACCCACTAATTGTCAACTTGCAGTTGAAGTTTTCTTCCCAGTATTCAGCAAACCAGACATTTCTCCTGTTGTTCTCAAGTGTGCGGGATGTGAAGTAAGCATCAAACCCTAAACAGAGTTAAATGAGAAGGTCACAACTCACTGAGAGTATGGCTACCATATAGAGAATAAATTAAAGGATCAAAAGTGTCAGCAATGGATTGTAGAGTAGAAGACTTATTTATTTGTGTCCATCAATATACTAGATTGATGACTATCAAATAAACACAATCTCTTTCTCTCTCTCCCTTCCTCTCTCTCTCTCTCTCTCTCTCTCTCTCTCTCTCTCACACACACACACACACACACACACACACACACACACACATTTATTAGTTAAACTACAGAAATGGCTCTAATTCAATTAGTAAGGGAGAAGTGTGATGTGCAAGCACTATTTTCAATATGAAATCTACACTGAAATAAATAAATAAATGTTTGGATTTCTAGTGTGCTAAACCAGAGCAAATATCTTCAGTAGTGATGATTGATATTGTCAACTTGAGGGTCTTGGCATCTATGTGGCAAGTCTCTGGGAAGTGGTGATGATTTCTATTAGATTAGTCAAGGTAGGAAGACCTACCTTAACTGTGGGAAGGACCATTCCATGGGCCAGGGTTCTGGAGAGAATAAAACAAAAGAGCAAGCTCAACGCTAGTACTCATTGCTCTCTGTTTCTGTGGATGGGCTGTGACAAACTGCTTCCTGAAATAACTTCTGTTTCATGCCATAATGGGCTCTACCCTCCAACTGTAAGCTTCCTGATACTCTTTAAGTTGCTCTGGTCAAGTATTTTGTTGTAGCATTAAGGAAATTTACTGATATATGTATATATATATATATATATATATATATATATATATATATGTATGTATGTATTGTCATCTTCAGATAGTAACTTGTAGTTTCAGTGCTTACTATAAAGCTGGCTGTGCAGTAATTATTATCAATATTCTCAATTGATACATTAGAAAACAAAAGCTTAGAAAACAAATCATGACATGTCCCAAGTCAACCATTATTATGCTCTAGTCTACATTCTTGATTATTTCAGCTATACTGGTTAGTGAGTATCATTCCTTTGGTGTTGTCCCATCGTGGAATTGGCTTCTCAGTTAAATGGGAAATAAAATAGATTTTAGAGAGGCCACAGGTAAATAAGCCTGTCACTTTGATGTTATTCATGGCACATCCACATTAACAGAGACTCAAGGGCCCAACTACTATACAATTCTGTAGCTGCTGTTTTCTGGAGTAGGTAACTTTAAATATTACAATAAAGCTATGAGGTCTCAAGAGGATCAAAGTACAAAAGAAACAAAGATTAGACTCAAACTATCACTTGAATTAGGCTTGAATGTCAGGTCCACTAATATCACTATGTCATAGAAATATGTGAAGTCCACAGTTTGAATTGCAGATATTCCTTTTTCTATTTCCAGAAATAAAGATGACACCATCTCCTTCTATTACTCTCCAAAATGCCTCTGTCACTTTCCACAGTGCTATCAGTGATAGTAGGAGCAATATAGAAATTTAGAAAGTCTAAGGCCAAGAATCATAAGAGAAGGTAGAACTACTAACATATAAAGTATCCAGCTTTTCCATATGTCATAAAAATTGTGTTAAGGTTTACACTGACAAAAGCAAAAACATTTTACATACATTTTCTCTTTAAGTGTTACATTAGCACTAGGCAGTGGGTATTACTTAGAACCATACTTTAAAGTCAAAAGTGAAGATTCAGAAGAATTTTTTATCATGGTTCCTGGTTACAAACATCATTATCTGTCATATACACTACAAAGCAGGCTCATATTTTGGTGAGTGTCATAATAATTTGGACAATTGATCATGGAAATGAAGAGCAGATTAACTGAGTAAGAAGGGAAACTGGAGTTTCATTTTCTCTTTCATCTTCTGGAAATTTCCATGCTCACCAAAGATCCAGGAAAGTCCTATGTAGATCGCTGTGATCCACACACCATGCCATTTTCCCTCTTTTCTAGAAGATGTCCCATTATGAAAGAATTAGTACTACAGGGAAACTGGTAGTTCAACAAGCAGAAGATAAACTATTATGTATGAGATCAGATGATAGAATGGGGAAATCAATCAACTCAGTAAATGGTTTTGTGGTCTGTTAGTAACCCGGGTTTAGAAAACAGATCTTCTCACAGAAACACAAAAGGCAGATGTATAGATAAAATAGTGTCATCCACTGAGGCTCTTCTTGATGCCTTGCTTTTGCTTGTCTGAATCAGACTTTTTATAGGACCTGACAATCTGGTTCCATCTTTTTATCAGCTCATGGGAGAAGACAAATGGATTCTTATTACGTCCCTCTATTCATTTCCATCAAGAAAGCAGAAAACCAATAACATGTAAGTTCTTCAAGGTTTGAAAAGCATCTTATTACAGCCAGATATTTACATTGCCTGAAAGTAGACATGGTAGCCCTTTTAGTGAGGAGCACTTTGCAATGCTCTTTACTAACATATAAGGTGTTTCTGACATGGAGTTGAGATAAAACTTCCCTTCTGCCTACTCATTGAAGTCCCTACATATAGTCTGTCATTACAGTATCAGAAGCCTGAAGATTCTACTTATCTCTCATTACAAACAGGACACATAATATAAGAACTTTAGTGACCCAGGTACGGCAGACACTTTGGGATAGAATCAGACATGAAAATAACTAATAACCAGGCTCATTTCCTTCTCCATCTCCCTCCCACTGCTTGTGTGTGAAATAAAACTTCTCGTCATCTCTATTAAATTTCAGCAGAAACAGGATCTGAACATATAATAGTACAATTAAGAACATTACCCGAGTTTTAAAATACAACCCGAGATACAAAGTCCCCTAGTTTTGATGAAAAGGAATCATAATCAAAGTTTTGTTAAAGGAAAAACTGTCATTCTTTTTATATGAAACAGATGGAATTCTCTGTGTGATTTGTTTCTTTAACTGAGCTTATGAATATCATTTGCTGAGTTCCTTTCTAGGCTGGTCTGAAGCAGTATCCCACTGGTACATGTTCAGCAGAACTGCTATCATTTGGGATGCTAATTCTAAGCAAGAAGGAGGAGCAGAGTTTCAACAGGCATGACAAACTGTTCTAGCCTGGTTCCATCCTCATTGAAATTATGAGATAGAAATAATCCTCAGTTACCACATGAAATCTGTAGAGTATAACTTAATAGGGAGTATGATTCATCCTAGGGACCATTATTAGGAGGTGGCCCTTTTAGATGAAAGGCAAAGGAAGGTCTTACAAGAGGGGAATATGAGGAATACTATTAAGGTGGCTTTAGCAGGTCACAAGACAGAAGAAGGCTTTACATGCCATCGAATACACGTAAAATATACAGCAGCTAATAGTTCTAGGTTTTCAACCCTGGGAGTGCATTACAATCCTAGGAACATCCTTATAAGCTCAAGTGGGAAGCAGCACCAGAACTTCCAACTTTACACCTCAAGTGCAAGGACCCTTAGCTCTTCTTACTGCCCTGCTTCCAGCTCAAGAAGCCTGGCTAGTGTTTAAAAATCAACATGTTTATCACAGCACACAATATCTGAACTGTTAAGTGGGTTTCACAGTGAAACCCAGATCCTCTGGAAAATCAGAAGACCAATCTGGCATCTTGTATTTATGATGGATATGGGGCATTCTACTGTTGAAAGTTATGTCTCTCTTCAGTGCACTTACAGTGAGTTCTGAGCTGTGTTTAAGCTCCTTTGCAAGGAGAAAAATCAAGCTGGATGTTTTGAATAAAATACTTTACTAAACCAATAAAAACATAAAAAACTTAGGAAAGCATCAAGGTATATTAAAACGGAAAAGTCATTCATATTTATACACTCAGATAACAGCTCTTTACAAGATGGATTAGAAATCTAAATTTGTAATAGCTACACAAACAAATAAGCACAAATAGCAGTTACTTTACAGGTCATATGAGTAAATGTACAAGGGTGTTAATATTCTAAGAAAAAAAGAGGAAGTGTGTATGGTTCTTTGAGGGTAGGGGACAGAAAAGAAGAAGAGGAGAGATAACTATGATGGAATTGCCATGCCTAAGCAATTCTAAATTCCCTGGGATAAAAGAAGAGAGAACCTGTCACAGAAAAAAATGAAGCCATATCTCCAAAACACAACAAAAGAAACACAGATAGGCATGGGGATATAATATACTTGAAAATAAGGTGGCTTTTCACGTGTGTATGGAAATAACGCCCTTCTTTCAATCATCTAACAACCATCAACTTGTTGGGGTTAGGGATGTGATCTTTTTATTGTTATTATTATTATTATTTATCTTTATAACCAAGTCCATTTAAATGAAAACAAACATTTATAGACAATATTTGGGAATTTGGGCATTGTTCTTTCCAAACTACTTCCTGCTGGTAAGGGGCGTTGTCATGGGGGATTCTAAGAAGATGCAGAAATCCTGGCTTTAGTCTGCATGGCTGCTTTGTCCAGCTGTTTTGAATGTAGGATCACCTGGAGGGGTGGGGGGATGGGAGGGGAGGGTGGTTAGGGTGCATGTGAGAGGGCAGAGAGGGTAAAAGGGAGGGAGGAAGGGAAGGAGGGAGGGAGAGGGAACTGGGATTGACATGTAAAATAATAAATTAAATTTAAAAAAAATGTTTTGACTCCAAAATTTAAGTTCAAGGACAAGTTACTGGGGAAAAGGATTTCTATTTTTCTTTCCACAGAAAATGAAAAGCTGTGGGTTCCTTCCAGACTAATGTGGTTTGATCAAGCCAGACCGCCTGAAACAAAGTACTAGGGATGTGATCTTATTGTATCCCAGGAATTACACATTATCTAATCCACAAGGTATATTGAGAAACCTCATGTAGACAAATGTGAACAACAGTCACTGATCTGGAAGCTGACTTGAGAGGATGAGTATTAATCACATGGTTGTAAGAACTGGTGGGGTGGGGGTTTCCTGCATCCTTGATTCAGGTGTTATATAGAGTTTTGTTGTCATGCCTCCCTTCTTGGTTCCACACATACCTGCGTATTCTTAACTTGACTTTCAGGACTAAAGAT